GGCCCAGGTGCCCAATAAAATCAGAACATTAGGACTAGGAGATGCCATCTCGGCAACCGCCTTTTTCCCATCCGACGGAGTTTTGTCCCGTAAATTTTGTAAAAAGCTGTAAATACTTGTAAATAATTTTGCGCATATATTATGTATTTCTCATTTTCTCTGAGGCTATGTGGCTACTGTGCACCTGAGAAGCTCGGGGGTAATACCTCGAAGGGAGGCGAGGCAGTTTGCCACAAAACCTCTTCTCTCTCTTAAACTTGTTTGTGCAATCTCACTACTTCATTTTAATTTTCTCTCAGTAAAAGATACTGAACCCCAACTTTCACCTTTCAGTTGCGCTTCGGCGATTTATTATTTATTTCCACTCAGATGAATTAGTTAGAGCCCCTAGGGGGGCTGATGCTAAGATAACCATCACATATGAGTATGAGATGCCAACTTGCTCCGGACAGCAGATAAATATTTTCGAGTGGTAGTTTATTAATGTCTGAATCTTGGTTTAATAAATTCAATTTATTAGGTTTTTATCCACCACTATTTCTAAATAGTTCAAAAGCATATATAATTCGCCATTTTCTTTCATTTGAGTCACGCGACACAGTTCAAAAAGTAAACAAAAGTAGTGAAATATTTGGAAATTTTAGTATGTAGTTTACCGTTTTTTAAAGTATTATGGCCCGTCCGGAGCAGTTGGCATCTCCATACCTGCCAACTTTTGCGCATTTGGCGTAAATATTTCTATCTTTGATGTGGTAGTAAAATGCATGTTTTGTATATATTCCTTGCATTTATAAACTTAATTTATAATCTGTTTGACCACCACTATTTTTAAAATAATAAAACATATATACTATAATGCAATACTGCCGTGGTAGTCCGCCTAAGCTTTTTCAAAATACAGTGTTTGTTTCTGCTTAAAATTGTAATTTAAATTCCATTTTACTACCACTGGGGAAAATCATTCTCAGAAGGATTAAAAGTTGGCAGATATGCATCTCTGTAATATGCTTACTCATCGCCAATTTATTATACTTAAGACATGCTGACCCTTTTAAAAAGTAAGCAAAATTAGTCAAAAATTTGCAAATTTTAGTCTGTAATTATTTTGGCGTGTCCGGAGCAGTTGGCATCTCTCTAAATAAAATGATAAACTTTACCTATTTTATGTTTAACCCTTTCGCGCCGACTGTAAATCACCCGTCCCCAAGGGGTTAAAGAATACTAAACGTCTAAAAAAAATTAACATTAATAATTTTGCATTTCTAGTTGTTTGTAGCAGTTATTAACCCTATCGCGCCGACTGTCACAAATACGTGACAGCATAAAACCGTATCAATCAGGGTAAAAATATAAAACTGGTAATCACAGTATTTCTTTAGCAGTTTATTTGAGGGCGGAGTTATAATTGTTTGATTTATTTAATTCACCATTACTTTGTTCAAAATAAAACTATTTAGTTATACTTCGAATTAACATTGATTATATATATGATTAAACTAACAATAATTAAAGTAAAAGCAAAGTAAGTCTGTCAAATTAGAAACTACTACATTTAAGTCACCGTTTTTTATTTAATTACAATTTGATTCTCATTTTGTACGAATGCTTTTCTGAATCACCCGTCCCCAAGGGGTTAAATTAGTGTTGCCACACTGGCTACATTGCACCTAGAAGGGTTAAAAGAAAAATCTTTCGCAAAATGATTAAGAGTTGTAATTTCTAATAATGTTCTTATAAGATACAGAGTGGGCACGCCTCTTTTAAAAGATTTTATTTTTATTTTTATTAATTTGTTTTGAGTAATTTCTAATTAATTACTTTCGCAAATATTTAATTTTGTAATTAATTTAAATATCTTTATCCAAAAACTTGTTAAAATTACTTGGAATATTTCAGGTGGCTTTTAAGATTCGCTATTCCAAATTGTCGTAGGGGTGTAAGATCGAGAGAAACTAGTAAGGTAGGTTCCATTTCTATGTTATGATATTTCTTTTCGTGAACTTTTTTTTTAATGGTGTGCTAAAGTTGTTTTTTTCCCGTTGCAGTCTATGTTGATCAAAAGTGTGGACCACTACAGAAAAGGTTTTAGACATTTGGCGAAGTTGATGGTGGCAGAAGGACGCATTCCGGATAAAGACCTTATATATTTTATGACATTGGATGAAATTAGAGATTTGTTGAATACGAGATATCCAAAAATAATATCCAGGTAAATTCAGCAATCCTTAATTCGATTAGGGAAACTAAACTTACAAAATAATCAACATTTATGATTTTCATTTAAAAAAATGATTTAGACTGGTTGGTTGGTGTCGTATCCTCTGTTGA